CAGTATATACCAGTCAACTGTATGTATTTCTATATCCCTATATGTATGCTAAATGCAGCTGGCTGATGAAGCATTGATAATTTACTGTTAACAATGAAACATAAATAGAAATTGGATTTTTTTTTTTAATGTAATGGATCAAGCACAACCTCTTGAGTGCCTTGGGATTCATTTGCTTGAAGCATTCTGCTACTTACAGCATCATGAATTTCAATAATTGTGATTCTACAAGTTGTTCACTTGAAATAATCACCATTCACGAGCCTTGGTTTTGAATACAGAGTACCAGGCCTTTGGTCTGGCCATTGCAACTCTATCACCCCTATTTGTTTTATCCCATTCTGGCTTCCTTCTGCTGGTAGGGTCTTCCCAGTCAAAGCTAGAAAGAGGAAGAATGCTCTTTATTACTATGTGCAAGGTCTGATGTGCAAGATTGGAAGCCCTTGTACTAAACACAGTTCAAGTCTAGAAAGAAATTAAATTTAAATTTAATTTAATTAAACTTAAAATCAAAGCCCTTCCAGTTTAATTCTGAGGTGATGAACCCTTACTCTTCTTATCCACAAACTTGTGAGGTTGTGGATTTCTTTGTGATATTTACTCATTTCTTCATCTAATTCAGAGGTCTCCAAACTTGGCAACTTTAAGACTTGTGGAAGTTCGCAAGCCTAAAGTTGCCAAGTTTGGGGACCCCTGATCTAACTTGTCCAGGCTGAAAGCAATGGTAAGTACAAAGCAAACTTCCCTATCTAGCAATGTAGTATTTGTTTAGCTTCCTAAACTTTAGTCCTTTGTAAGTTGGCAAATGTCTGAAAGGACCCTCAAAGCACTCAAACAAAACTGAAAATGGGCAATCCTCCGAGTGTACAAGCAAATGAGACAATGGCATTTTTTTTTTACAACAGCCCTGAACTGAACCACTTTGAGGCATTGATCTAATCACTGAATAAAACCATGGGATTAGGCTTTTCTGTGGATCTTGTTACAGTGATAAACAAGATACCATTAGAACCTTAATTTAAAAAAAAAATCCCTTTTTGCCTCTTCTGAGTCAAATGGCACATTCCTGTGGTGGAGACCATCTACATTAATAATGGCTGGACTTTGGCATGATATCTAACACTGATTTCCAATTTATTAAGTATATTCTTGTATATCTTGACGCCTGAAATCCTGTTGTAGGACTGTATTAAATTAAGTGCTATAAAGGACTTACCCCTTCTGAACAAGTGTGATGATTTTTTTCTGAATGCCTGCCTAGTCTTATTCTGTCACTAGAGAAAAAAAATATAGTGTTGACTCTGTATATTAGAACAGAATTGGATTATATAGTAATACATTCCTGAAGTACACATGACTTAGTATGTATTTTGTAATTAGAAACTGAATAATCTTTTGTCCTCATATATATTCTATCCTCCAAGGTGGAGGATTCCCCCCACCCCAATATTATTTTTAGTTTTGACTTATGGTGGAACATGAAAATGGAATTTGTTTGTAGAATGTGTGTTCTTCATGCATGTAGCTCTTCCACCAATGTTATTGCACATACAGAAATATTGAACGTTCCTCATATAAAAGACTCACTTGCAAGCTTCTGCTTTATGTAGTTGTTTTTTTTAAAATCAAATTTCATTCTAAGGAGCTCAATCAATGTTTGGTAATGCTGTCTTCACCATCCTGGTGCCTTTAAGCTATGTTAATTTCAAGTTGCATTATTCCAAGTGACTAGGCATTCTGCAGTGCAAAACACAGTAGTCAATATACTACTGATGCTGTCAAAGGACTGTAGTTGCATGGCCTTTACTATGTCACTAATTAAGTGGGCTTAAAAGGTCATCCTTAGAACAGAACCAAATATACCCTAGAACATGGCTGTCAAACTCCTGGCCCACAAGCTGGATGCGTCACATGTTGGCCACACCCATGTCCGCTTTAGCAAAGGGGAAAATAGTCCCGATATATCATGTGACACCGCCTTGATGACATTGGATACCCCTGCCCTGGAAACAGTTTTCTACTAAAATAAAAACTACTGCTCAGTTTGCAATCAAAAATTAAATACTAAACATCAGTATGAAAATTGGGAGAGAATGCTAATGAGAATGCCTTGTTAGTTAAAAGGTAGTTATGCAAACACTTATATCAATGCTTAAACACTTTAGGTTGACTTAACAAATTTCAGTGTATGAAACTTACAAGTATTCAAGGTGTCAAGTTGTACATGATCTTCATCGATTTAAAATCCTGGATTTCCAGAATAAATTGTAACATTCTTAAATTCAGGATCATAGCATACCTAGATTATAGGAAGCCAAACATAATGCTATAGTAATGTTTCAGATTTTAACTGTTCATTGCAATATGGTTGCAGAGAATTATCCAGATAAAACTGCTGTTGTATAAATGGATCATAATAAAGTTTTGAGAGGAGTTGGACAAATATTCTATTTAAAAAAGAGATGCATTGACATTTCTATAAATGTGAACAAATAATGGACGCTGTTCAATGCATTACAAAATGAATTGGATATGGAAGAGCATATTGTCCATGGAAGTTTTTACTTTGCAGAGGAATCCCACTTACAGGAAACTGATTTAATCTATCTTCCCCTCCTTGTCTCCATGTTAGGGCTTGGATCTAGTGTTTCTACAAATGCCCTGCAGAATCCAAAATATGTTTGTATCTGTTACAGAATGACTTCTCTAGCGTATTATACATTGGATAACTGGAATAATTTAAAATACATTAATATAATCATTTTGTTCTACTACACTTTCACCATATTAAAAACAACAATGATTTTGGCACAAACTTCTCTCTCCTGTAATTTGCTTAACTCTTACAGAATGTTTATTTGCTCAAAATAGAACACAAATTCTATAGCTCTGTCTGATGTCAGCATGTAAATGAAAATGTTTTGCAGACCTTTAGATTTACTAGTAATCTTTCCTCCAGTGATGCATTCAGCTAGTGTAAAATGGTTCCAGATGGGCAAATACAAAGGCCAGATTCTGTAACCTAACAGCTTCCCTGGCAAGATTGCTTTTCACACAAAATAGCTAAAAACACAAACTAGCCACACCCTCAAACTTTATTGAAACCCAACAAGTGTCTCAATTAGAGATGCCAACTGCTATCTAGTTTTGGTGTTTTATGTAATTAAACTGAAGCATAGCTTTAGATTTTGTAAGATTGCAAGACCAATTTTGTTGAGGTTAGGCAGTACAAGACTCATATAAAACCAAATCCAATGAAATATAAATCAATAATTGACATAGAGCATGTTTATATGTCAACAATTGACATATATCAAGTAAGATTTTATCAATTTATCAAAACCTTTTTCTTCCCGTTTAAAATATAAGTTTATTCTTAAACATAATATAATCTTTTCTTTACATTCTTAAAGGGCCATTGGGATTTTTTTCTTTGCTTGTTTTTATTATATAATGTATCAGTCTATTTCAGTGGATATGTGACTGAAGGTCTATTGAAACAAACACTGAAATAGTGTAAGGCTTGTGGCTTTGTCTAAAAATAAACATGTTGGATAGATTTTTATGCTGGATGTATAATGCTATTCAAATAATGGAATTTTCCGCTCCTCCTAAAAGCTCTATTCTAGCCTGCATTCTCAAACCCTTTTTTAAATCAAAACTTTAACGTTACATAAAATATTCTGAAGAAGATAGTAACAGGCAGAGGATAGTTATCACTTCTATTCTTTGAATAGAAACAGCCTCTTCTGGAAATGTACATTTCTTAATCATTTATAATGTTGGTAATGAATAGAGACTAGAGAACTGAAGTATATGGAAACCAGTCCAATTCGTCATCCAGCTGGGGCTAACCAGACAATATCGGGGGTCTGGGTTTTGCAGCATAATGCAGCATGAAACAGAGAATAGAATACAAAGAAAAAAAGTTGGAAAAAGTTTTTCCAATGGTTAAAGTCTTGCTTTAAAGCCTTGCTTCTGAGTATTGATTCACCTGTGGAGGTGCTTAGTAGCACTAAGTTTCTGGGTATGCAGCTTAACAAGTAGGCTAGCTTGGTCGCTCAACAGCAAGACACTGGTGAAGCGGACACAGCAGCGCCTGCATTTTCTCTGTTGCATGAGAAAAGTACATCTTCCTCCGGCAGTTCAGAAGAGTGGTGAGGATGGCAGAGACTATTGGCAGGTAACAACCTTCTATCCAAGACAGCATATAAGAAATGCTTGACCATGGTCCATAGTATTGTCTGGTACACTACACATCTTCACGACCTATTTTCCTTGTTACCATCTGGGAGGCTTCATGGTGTCTGGTTGGTGTGTGTGTGTGTGTGTGTGTGTGTGTGTGTGTGTGTGTGTGTGTG